AATCTGAGGTGGTGAGAACGTATCGGGTGTTATTAAAGTACTTCCGCGTTTAACTTGAACAATGTTTATTTCCATGTCGAGTGTGCGTCGTTTTAGATCGTAACGTGACGGACGTCGAACTCGAGCGATAACGATGTAGAATTGATACAGACTTGACACCAACTAACCGTGACTATCCATCTGTCTGACTAAACCGTGCGACTACCAGCGACTACCGTGAACGACTCTGAACGACTCTGAACGACTCTGAACGACCCTGAACGATTCTGCACGATTCTGAACGACTCTGCACGATTCTGAAAGATTTTGCACGATTTTGAGCGACTCTGAACGACCCTGAACGACCCTGAACGACCCTGAACGACTCTGAACGACCCTGAACGACTCTGAACGACTCTGAACGACTATCCTGAGCTTTTCCTTGTTTTCTCTCGAGGTGGGGAAGGAAAAATCCATAGGCGATAAAATAATAAATTTTCCCTTCGAAGGCCCGTGGGTTTTTTTAGTAAATTCCAGGATTTACTCTTTTACGACGTGCTGTCCTCGGACGTCGTTTCGCGGGCCATGTGGCCAACACATGTGCTTCTACCCTGGAACATTCTCTACGGTGATGGGCCACTACGAATCTAAGGGTGCAAGGATCCACGGAATGCATTTATTTAATTTGTACTTTATAATTTGTCCAACTGAACATTTGATAAATTTTTCTAACTTATTTGCTAAATAACATGTGGATGACTACCTCCAGCAGGATACCATCTTCCAGTTTGACTATTTTATTTCTTCAGTGAGGTCAATGGCGTGTTTTCTTTTTAGTTTCCTTTCTATTGCATATAATATTATAAAATATCCAAAGGGTACTTGATAATACTTGGCACTACTAATATTTCACATTTAAGTTTCATTCTTTTTTTCTTGTTTCGTTCGGAGAAACGTTAAATTGTACGAATATTCGCGGTCCAGTTAATCGACGAGTTCTGTGACGTTCTTACGAGTAGATTTTAACGGAGTTTCAAGGGGAGAGTCTTAATGTCTTTTAGGCTATTTGGAAATCATAAACATCGAGTAATTATCACGGAGATTGCCTAAGATTACGTACGCTTTATAGCTCGAATTAGTGGTTTCAAGCATACATCCTGAATTGAAATATGTGACAGGAAAGTAGTGGTCTGTCCCAAATTCCCAGGAATCGACTAGAAAAAGTGCCATTGACGACTTAATTTATCCGATGTATCGAGGTTTTAAACTTTTATGGCTACAACGGTAGCCGGTTTCTAGGCACGTTAACGTTTCTTCCTGCGTTTATGAAAAGTTTACGCAATCCTGCTAATGTATACGTATCATCATAATGAACACTTATAATGTAGACACTATCATCCATAAGTATTTGCACACTTCATGCAATTTGTATATATATTCGTTTCCTATTTATCACAGGCTAAATCCTTGTTCATCGCATATTAGATTTATGGAAATCAGCCGCCTGTTTCTCAAAAATTGAATACTAATCGTGCATCAGGATAACGAGATTGCTACAGTCAGAAAAAGTGAAGTTAATTGATTCGTCTCTCGAGAGAATCAAACAGATTAGCGCGAGGACATTTTTGAGCGATAGCGTACGTTGGACTGGCGTCGTTTTACTAAAACTTGATCGACCAACATTTGTCAGGAATTTGACCAATTAGGCAGAGCACCTCGACCGAGATACGCGGCGCGTTAAGAGCGAAGAAAACGAAGACACGACAGTGGAAGAAGTTATTAAGAAATTTGCATACCATAATATTGGACAGTGTGTTGGTCCACTTCGTGGGCGTGACAAATTGAGCCTATAATTCTGTCCGCGACCTTACTATCAACATCGAACGTACACATACCGTACTGTATAGTCGGTTTTTACTCGTGTCGCAGATAATAAAACAAAACGTGGTGGAACTTTAATTAAAAAGCTATCTCGAGTGTTTTCCCAATTGAACGTTGAAGCAGACACGTCTGCAAGATGGCCGTGTTGATAAATGCACGGCAGAGATTGCGCAATAAAGTATATTTATTCTGCGTAAGTGAAACCCGACGTCCTGGGGAGGGTCGTCTTTTTTCTGGCGAATTTTCATACATGAAAATGGTCGAATTTGGCCAGAGGTGAGGTCGCCGAGGCCCGACAGCGTGGGAGGACTTTCACCTCGCCACTCAAACGTTCATTAAGAACCGAGTAAAAACGCGAAACATAATGCCGGCCGTCGTTAAAATTCCGAACGTTGACAAATCGACGCAAGCACCAGTCGCAACTTATCGTCCGCCTTTGTCCTAACATCAGTCACATCAAAATATTCCAGAGACTTTTTGTTACTTTAAGAGAAGCTTGCTCCCCTTTAGGAGCGTCGTTGAATCGCTTAAAAGACAACGTATCTTCATAGACGCGTGTCCAACGATTTTTCAAAATCGATTTTCTCAAAAACCAAGCTTCGTGTGGAAAGAACTCTGCTTTTACATAAACAATCGCCTTCGAGTGTACGAAGAATGGCCCGTTTGTGTAACGGTTTCGGCCTTCAAGGTCCAAATTAGTACAAAATCGCAATGGTTGCGCGACGACAAATTAAACATGCAATCGTTCCATGGAATCTCGAAAATATATACGTATGCAGGTTTGGATTTGCGTACGCAGAGAACGTATGCTGCAATTTCCATGAGATCCCGCGGAGTAGCCAACGGAATGCGAAATGAACAGCCACGTTCGTTCATACGTATCGTTCAGCGTGTTAAATGAGAATCATTAGGACGGCATAAGTGGATTTTCTAATTGCCGCCATTACTTTCCTGCGGTTACTTTGCATCGACAATTACGAGTCAGCTCCGGTAAACAATTTGCTCTGGCAACTGTGGACCAACTTGCCGCCAACTGAATTATATCGTTGTCGCAACGCTGCCGTGATAAACGCGAACGACGAGATGAATGAAGTGTAACATGTTTTTATGGCGACTTTTTCCGCTAGTAAATGACCATCGGGACCTATGGCGATTTATTAGTGGAAAACAGTTACAGTGGTTTCTAGAAATCGATATTTCAGTGTCTCTGTGGTTAACGTTTCTACTTTCCAATATGTATATCCAATATGTGTACGTATACGTCCAATCCGCGTTTAAACGCTTTGGTTACGCAATATTTCAAAATTACAATACGAGAATTTTTTAATTTTCTTTTTTTTTGCTACTTTAATGTAGTTGATAGTTTTCTAACATTCCATGACCAAGTAATAGACGTACAATTTGAGGTTGTTGACTTGGAACTTTTACTCTCGTTGTGGTCTAATATTTCATAGCTTCGAGTATTTTATGTATCGACACTTCGAACGTCTAAATTTCTCCACGCTTCTCAAACACTTTTAATTTCCTTACGTTCTCGTATTCTAAAGTTCCAATTGTCGCCTCTTTAAGTGCTTAAATTTTGCAATTACCACGAGCCCGAATTTTTCAGAATCCCAGTACTTCGGAGCTCCGATTTCCCAACGCCCCAAAACCTCAAACCTTCCACTTCCCCGTATGTATGTACTTTCGATACTCGAAACTCTGAGTTTCTGTACGCTTCGACGATATCTGAACGCTTCAACGATTTAAAACACCCAATTTCCCAATACTTGAAATTGCTCAACCAATGGAGCATCAACAGCAATCCAAAAAAAGCGTGTACCTACCAGCGATGTCTCACAAAACGTTCGCTAATCGTCTCCATTATTTGCAGTGTACACGATTCCTCGGATGGAATCGTCGTTGTTATTATCGAGGCTACCGGGGCCTGTCATAAATCTCCCGGCTTGCGGCCGGACGTTTTAAAAATGGCTCCCTTCCGAGATCCTCGTGTATTATAGTGGATGGAGCCGGCAGGCCCCAGACACACAGAGGAAACCGCGTGCTGACTCACGTATACACGCGTGCGGACTCACGCCGCCAATGTTGGGCCCATTGTTGGCGGCTGCTGGCTGTCCGAGAACAAGAGTCGTCTCGCCATATGCGGCAAGGACGCCGATGACTCCTGTCTATTGGGTCTCGTAACGGGCCTCACGCTCCTGTTTACCTCCGCTTAGAGCCTGCGTTATCGCAACAAAGTTCGCTATTGACACGTTAGCGTACCTGCAATTTCTTTTACACCTTATCCGATGTAATTGAAATGACGAAATGTCTTCTGGATTAAGCATTGTGTACGACGATTCATTTTTCGGCTATCGTGTTCGATATTTTGGAAACTAAGAATTAGATATTGGCATTGGGTGTAGCTGGTGTATTGGATGTGAGTATTCGTATACTGGATATTTGATATTTTGAGAAATTTAGATATCAGGTGTTGGCATTGAATGTAGCTGGTGTATTGGACGTAATAATTTGTTTACTGGGTGTCGTGTTTCGTATTTTGAGAGATTTAAAAATTAGATATTGGCATTGGGTGTAACTAGTGTATTGAACGTAATTATTCGTATACTGGATATTTGATATTTTGAGAGATTTAGATATCAGATGTTGGCATTGGATGTAGCTGGTGTATTGGACGTAATAATTCGTTTACTGGGTGTCGTGTTTGACGATATTTTGGGAATTAAGAATTCGGTATTGGTATTGGATGCAACCGATGTTTGTACAGTGTATGGATTATTAGAATTCTATTATTATGTTTAGTATCTTGGAGAAGTAATATCGCGTAATGACGACGAAAACTTGAAGTAAAGTATTTAGTTAACAGTTAGATAAATATGATAGGTGTGGAATCGTATCATCTTCCATAGCATCGTATATCTGAATAATATACGAACTAAAATATTTGGTACTTTTATTTTGAAAAAATATTATATATAGAGATAGCATATAAAGTAAAATAATGCCATACATGACAGTGGCTATGAACATTGGAACTTATATAGAAATAAGCATAAGAATAAACTATATATGTACATATAGTAATAGAACAATTACTTAAAGAAAAAGCGGTACAATGATTTTGTCAAAGCTTTTTATTGTTTTTTTTTATGCAAGTTTTCTCTCAATTTACAACTTCTCGTAGATAAAATGATATAACGTAACATACTCAACGTTGCGTATAATAATCATAATAATCAATCAGCATCGTCATCATCTCTGACAATGATGATAATAATATCGTAATAATAATAATAATCGCAATAATAATAATGATCATTCTTAATAAGAATAATAGCGATAGTTCCGCAATTCTTGCAATAATAATATTAATATTGGTAATCATCGATATTATTTATTTCTTGTCATTTTGCGGATAAACACCGCAGCTGCATGGGGTTATGAAGCTTAGGCTTAAAAATACGAATGGGGATGTTCACCCCCGCGTTCGAGACTTTGAATATCTACGAGCAATTTTGTAGCATGCCTTCCGGAACGAACTGTGGTCTCTAATATTCTTTATTCCTTTTTTTTTTACGTTTCTTTTATAAGAAGAACAGTTCGGACGTTTCCTCGGTGGAATTTCCTCGAGGAAATAGCGCTTTGTCGAATTGGAAATCTTTGCCGAAGAACCGCTTTTGGACGGGAAATATTTGATAATATTTGCTTGGACGTGCAATTTTTTACGTATTTTTATTTATTCGCTAATTTTTTTGCAAGCTTTTCTGTCATTTTTTTGTAAAAAAATCGCGCTTCTATAAAGTAAAATTATAACTAAAAGAGAGTTAAAATATTTTTCTTGAAACCGATTGATACCGATTCATTTTTGAAGACGTTTTTCGTTAACCACGATATAGAGAACGCTTACTTTAAAACGAAGTATGTATCTTTGGCATGCATTATATAGAACAAAGAGATAAAAGAAGAAAGACAATTTTCATAAGAAGGTACCACGTGGTTTAAAAAACGTCTTCAACAGCGATCTCAATTCCAAATAGGTCGATCTTAATTACCCGAAAAAAAAAAAAAAAAAAAAAAAAAGAAAAAAGGAAGAAAATAATTGGAACCTCTTGCTTTTCAAGTATCGAAGAAATCTTTTAAACGAAACAATATTTTCTACCCGATTGGAAACATAATTTTTAGATCATACGGTGTTTCATAATGTACCAAGAAAAAATACAAAAAAAAAAAAAGTAAAAACTAAAAGAAATTCCTGTTTTAAATATTACATTCACAACATTTGTCTCGACATTTATGAAACTCCCTGTACGAGCTAAACCTCAAACCTCGTTCTCTTGAAAAGCAAACAGCCCGCGAACTAAAAATAAAAACGCAGTAAAATTAAAGAAAAGTCAGATGAAAATAATCCACGCATCGTTCGAACGTCACAGAGGCGACACACAGTAACTTCCGGAAGTGCACCTAACGTGTCTTACTAAAAAATAATTCCCTTTCTTTCTTTTTCCTTATATCGGGCATACGTACGTTTCGCGTTACAATCTCTACTCGAACATCTGGTCAACAAAATAAACTTCTCTGTCTTCCTGCCGGAAGTGTACCTCTTAATTCGTAATCGGCGGGGACCAGAGTTTCCGTGGCGGGACGTAGTCCTTGTCGAAGAAACTTCGAGAGGAAACGAAACATCGAAAAACTTGGAGAGGCCGACCTTAGGCCGTAAGGACACGATTTCTCTACTAGGCTATTATAAAAAATATTAGCTCCACACTTTCAGCCTCTTTCATCTTAAGTTCGCTGCGTTTCACTCGCGCGTCTCGCTTCGAAACAATTTTTGATTAGACGCCATTATGATATCTCGAAGTATTTTGAATCGATGGTGGACACAGAGATTTTGTGATATTCTTTTCTTCTTATTGTATATATTTAGAAATTTTCCAAATCTCGTTTGCAACTATAGAACTGAAAATTTGGAATTACAAATTTAGAGGTTAGAATTAGAAATATACGTAGCATAAAAAGCTTAAAGTATCTGATAATCATTTTCGTATTCATTTTGGAATTTTTCGATCTTTTCTTGTAACTACGAAATCGAGAAGTTAGAATTCAACTACAGAATTCAAAATTGTAGAATTAAAAAGGAAATTCATCAAATTTCTTCACCTTGTTCCAGAATCAGAAATATGTGTCTTTAAAAATAGAACATAACCTAATTGACATTGATTCTTCCACACGAGGTACCAAATACTCACTCACTCGAGTTACATTCTGTTGAGCAATATATAATTAATTTACAGACGTTCAATTCTGCAGCAAGGACACTACATACAATTCTTATGCAAAAATTTCCCTGTAAACTTCCATTTTTCTAGTTTCCATGAAGCTGACACGCGAAAACTGAAACACGTCCCGCCCGGACGCCATTTTCCCCTCAAGACACTTGATACAAAATGCCGCTACGCTCGCGTTTTGGTATAAAAAACATTGAAACATTGGAATGGCGTTTTGTTCGACGACACGTCGCTATCTACAATAATGCAGTCTGTTTTCTGGGGTGAATTTGATTTCTTTTTTTTTTTTTTCTTGCTAAGAAACCTTCGTTTCTCTCTCCTCTACTCCGTTTCTAACCTATTCCTCCTCGACTCTGCATTGTTCTCGTCGTTTATTATCCTCCCATCCTCAAGAGAACTCGCAACGCGCAAATAAATCGTCTTTAATAAATATAACCGATAGACTATATAAATAAATAATTTCTCGCCGGCCCGGCGGCCGTGGTGAACGATCGAACGTAGAAATTCTGACTGCGAAACCCGAGATCTTCTCGTCGATCCCCCGACGATCGTTTCTTCTTCAGCGATCGCGATCGTCGAGAAATCGCGATTTACGCTCGTCGACCTCTTATACGTACTAAGCTAATGAAAATGATCACGAAACGGCGTGATTCTCTTTTTTCCTTTTCTTTCCCTGTTGTGATATAGCTCGATGTAACTTGTGATCGATCTGTGAGATTCTGTTAGGTTAGGTTTAAAGAAAAAGCTTTGAAGTCGATATCGAAGAAGATTCTGTATTCGTTTTTCTGCAAAGTTTCATGCAATTTTTATGTTCATGTACGACTTTCATCATTCTATATTTAATCTTTCACGAAACTTTCTGTAATTTTCTTTTATTACCATATTATATGCCCCAAATCTTTTTCCAATACATAAATATTCAGCCCCCTATAATTCCTCGGTCGAAGAATGTCCATTAGCTCCGCAATAAAAAGAAAAAGAAAAAGAATTCCTGGTAAAGGAATTCAATAAAGCAAAAGGGAAGGCTGCAAAGTATCGATCACAAGACACTCGGAAAAAAGAACATATCACGACAAAAAAGAGAGATCGCGTCGCGTGTGTCCACGGTGCAAAGGTGCAATCTCTCGTCTCGGATGAATCGACGAGCTGTCAGCCGGAGTGCAATTAACTGACTGGAAGCAAATCGATCGGGAAGCCATTAACGCAAGAGCCGTACACCAGCTAATTGCCTGCTTGAATTCTGTCTGTTGTTCGTCAATCGAAATCGTTGTTGTTCATCGACGAGACGAGTCTCCCTCGCCCATACCTACCTAACCTACCTTTCTTTTTTTTTTTCGTTCCCTTCCACGTCATCATTTCAGCTTCTCTGTCGTTCTTCCTCTCCCATCGTTTTTTTCTTCTTTTTTCTTTTTTGATCTGTTTTTTTTTTCAATTTTTTTCATTTTTATTTTTGATCACCTTATAATCTTACTTGCATCACGAACGTCATCTCGTTCAGCACCATCCAAGCACCACCTCGATATACACGTGACTCCTACGAGCTAACTGATCGACCCCGTACCGTTAAGGCCCGTTAAACTTCCACTCTAATCGGACACCTTCGATCTGCTATCGCACAACACGTGGAAACGCGGATTTTTTTACATTTCAAAATGTGGATATTTGGGATTTTTGTGAATCGTGCACAGGTGAGAAGAGGCTGATTTACCCTTTAAGCGTCGTTTCGCGGTATTTAGGTATAAAGGAATTTTCTCTTCTTCAAGGGGGAAAGAACGTGATTTCTATTCCTCTAAGATAATTCACAATAGAAAAGGGAACAATTTTTTCTAAAACTCTTTCAGTAAAAGCGTCGCTATTTACAAAATGTTCCAAGAGAAAAGAAATCTCCCAAGCACCATAGAGACACGTTTCATGAAATTACAGGGTTCCCAGAATTAGACCAAAGGGAACTATCTTAAACTCCTTTCTAATCCCAGAGCATCAGTTAGGCCCATTTCTACCAGCGATCATTTATCGATGCAATTGGGATGAGTAGTCTATACTAATTCAGGAAATCTGCATGTAGAACTGTTTCGACCAATGTTGATCATTGAACGATGCAACAGAGACACCAATGTTACGCTAATTCGGGAAACACTGCATTTTAAATTAGGATCATCCTAACCTCACTCTTTCCCTTACTTAAATACCTTCGGAATCACCATTTCTCACCTTGCAACACCTTTCACACCCACGTCTCGTCACGTGTCCACGTACAATCAACAGAGAATCTGCTAAATCGAGGGCGTCACGAGCAAGGAAGCAGCGAGAGCACTGGCGAGGCTCCGCGTACACACAGTCCAGCCTACGGGCGATCGAGGAGCCCGATGACCTCGAGGACACGCTCTGAACCAGCATCATCGTCGCCCTCTAAACGTTACTCGAAGCTCATAGAGAGAAGCTCTACATGCTGTCAGACGCGACAGACATCGGCCTCTTGTAAACTGGCGCCGGTATCCTGGAGAAACCTCCCCTCTCCGAGACAGGCTTGGGATCCTTTCTAGGACTGGCCGTCATCTGATTGTCCTGAGGCAACGCCACGGTCCCGTTACCATCGATCCACGCCCTGGTGAACTCCATATTCGCCACGCCGTCGCCAGAGCTATGCGACTGATAATCCCTCAAAAGATCCTGAAGCTTCTGAACCACTTCACGTTCGTCTTGCAAGTGGCCAACCTTTTGTAGAATCTGCTCCAAGAGAGGATTCACCTTGGTCGGCGAAGATTGAAGAGATCCAGTGGTAACTTTGATTCTTCTTCCATTTCTGTCATATTGGATACCACCGTTGGAGCTTTGCCTAGGCAGACTTTGCCTGGCTGGACTTTTCCTGGTGAAATTAGGGGTGGTGGCACAGGTGGCTGGTACTTGAGGGTTCAGGAAGGTGTCTGATTGGATACTGGGTCTCTGTCGAGTCTGTCTACCGTTCCACGTGTTACTACCGCTCACTGGACTCTGACAGGTTTTTGGTACTGGAGATGCTTTGCTTAGACTGCCTGTTGGAGGTTTTCGAAGGCTGTTTCTGATGGTTCCTCGTTTGAGAGGACTTCCTTCTGGACTGGAATTGCTGTCTCTGGGTGTTTTACTGCCTGAGGAAGCTCTTGAGACGTTGCTGTTTTCACGTACGATGGAATTTGCTCGAGGAGTTCGGTCCCCGGAGGAAGAGGCCACGCTTCTCGAAGGCGAAGCGCGGAGAGGACTGGCTGGGCCTATGCGAGTCTTTCGAAGGCCTGTCTCGATGCTCTCTGTCTCCACGCAGGACCTCTCCTCAGGTTCAGATTTCACGGGTTGCTCTGAAACAAGGGAACAAAGGGGTGTTTCTTTTTTCTCTTATTATCGAATATGTTTTCGGTTAGGATGTTACTGTCCATAGGGCTCGATTTAGCTGTTGCAGAATTTCTGAGGATGGATTTGGGAAACGAGAGAGATATTTTGCTTGTGTATCATTTGAGTATAATGTGTGGGATTACCATAGGTAAAATGATTTTAATATCGCGTTGCTAAATTGATATGTTCATAGTTCTATAAAAGTCTTTAGGAGAATAGATTGAGCTTACGTCCTGAGATTCTAATTTCAATAAAATATAAATTCCATTTTATGATATTTTTTAAATTATTGAGAGCACGTTTCCAAAAATTCAACGCCTCAAAATTCACATTACAATTCACAGTCTTATTGTAATCTCTGCTTATAAATCTCCTAAAATCATTAAATATACATTCTGGTTTGAAAGAGCAAAATTAGTTCTACGAATGCGTTCGGTATACGCAATCGCGATTGCGTAACGACGAATCGCGTTGTTTCCGCGTGCAATCGCATGCAAATGTCAACCAGAGAGCGTCACCAGCTCCCTCCTCGCTGTTTATTCAAAAGCGTACTCGAGTGGATTTCGACGGGATTTAGGATTCGACGATCATCGCATAGCACTGCGTGGGCAACCTGCCTGACTTTTTTATATCGCAATTTCGACCCCCCCCTCCTCCCCATGACATAACCAATAATATTTCTCGCCAACTCTCTATTAAATTAACATTATCCGCTGATTTTTCTTTGGATTTCTTAATCGGTAAAAAATGTAAAAATAATTTTATTCGAGATGATATTTGTCTTCCAAGCACACTATAACTGTTCGATCTTCTTGGTTGAATTCTGACGAATTTGAAATACTTTATAAATGAATTACATTATTGTATAGAAAACTTATAATAATCTTTCTTTAATTTGCTCGGAATTTCCTAAATGTTGGATTTCTTAAAGGAAATAAGATTTAATTTAGAAAGCATCGAATCATACCATCGCATTTGATTAAAAGAATCTTACAAATGCAATCGGCAATTATAAGAAAAATGTTAGCAATTGATTGTTACCTGTAATACGCGCAATATCTCGATCTAATTACGATTTTCTCGAAGAGGAAAATTTAACTCGCCACTTTCTTATCTTTACGATTTCCTTGTTCGGTGTAACTGTGCAATTTTAATCGTAGGAATTAGGATTGCGTAATTTCTGTAATAGCAGATGGAATCGTTCACGTGTACGCTCCTCATTAAAAGAAAGGAATACACCGAGACGGTCTTATTGGGCGTAAAAGAAGCTATTAGCGAAGGTTTGCCAATTACAGACGTATAAATGCGTTTTACGTCGCGAGAACCAGTTCGAAGGAATCGTAAAACGCAGCTTAACGGCTCGCGGGATCTTCGGTGTGTTGCCAAAAACAATTTTTACAAATGCTATTTCGGAAGAAGCATTTAGTATGTTCTGGACGCGTTCCAAGATAATTGACACATTTTTCGGGAATTTTTAGTTCTCTGGAGACGTAAATTGAGAATTAAATGAAAGTTCGGACGAAAGAATTGTCGACTTTGATAGAAAAGTAAGAGATTGAGAAAATATTGAAGTTAAAAGTAACTTGGACTACTGAATTTTTACGAACGAGATATGATAAGTAACTTATTATAATCCATGATAAGCAACTTATCGGTTGAATAAAAGAATCTATAAGAACATAGGCTTGTTTATAGCCTAATCCAGGAATAGTTGAGTGAAGTAGTTCAAATAAGCAACTATGTCTTCAAAGTAGACATATAAACGAATTTTATATACATAATTTTCTTTACAGAAATTGTATTTAAAATAGTTGAGTATTTTAGAATTTGTAATCTTGTATTTTCAAATCTCCAAGATATTAAGTTTCCAAAGGACTGAAATTGTTAAATTACCAGATTCGCAAACTTTTACACTGCCAAGTCTCAAATATTTATTAAGATTTTACAAAATTCCAAATTCCCAATCTTCGAACTGTACAAATTACCAAAATTCCAAAATTTTAGTCTCTATAAATAGTAAGACCTCTTCTACCGTTTCAAGACTGACAAATTCTAGATTTTTGAATCATCAACATTTTAACATTTCCATGTTTATGCCTTCGATACGCTCGCTTTAACACATATCTACTTTCTCCTTCAAAATCACTTCTCCCTAACCTTCTCCACCCACAATCTCAACCGAAAAGGAAATCGATTCATTTACAGAAGCCAACCACGGTAGCTCCACGCCCATCACTCTTCTAACGTAAACAAAACGCGCATAATACCATACGTAATCGACAACGTCTCTTTTCATCGTCCATAGTAATCGAGCAACCCATTTTGGACCACCCTGTAGCTCATTAATATTCAAAGTATACAAATACATACACCTAACGTGACATTTAACTGGCTGTGAAGGATTACACGAAGAATGAGATATCTGTGTGCGCATATCGCGAAGCGTGGGCGATCTTCAACAACAACCTGTCCACGGAACAATCACCAGCGGTCGATCCTCGATAACGCTTTGCCTCGAATACCGTGATTCACGCACTTGACACATACTCTGATCTTTCCACTCGGAGCAACGGTTTCCGCGTACTACTACTCTCGTATCTACTTTATTTGCCTTTGAAAATTCAATTTCTTTCTTTTCTTTTTCGTAACGAGGAATTGTTTGAAAAAGAGGTTAGGTTAGATTTGAATAAATTACGGTTTCGTGTACCACTGCTTACGTAGCTTCTTTATTTGCCTTTGAAAATTCATACTCTTTCTTCCTTCATCAGGAAAAATTGTTTGAAAAGGAGGTTAGGTTATATTTGAATAAATTACCGTTTCGTATACTAGCATTTCCGCAGCTTCTGTATCTGCTTTTTGAAACTTTTAATTTATCTTTTCTTTTTCGTAACAAAGACTTGTTTGGAAAGGAGGTTAGGTTAGGTTTGAATATATTATGGTTTACTGTGCTACTATGTTCATAGCTTCTGTGGCTACCATTGAAAATTTAATTTCTTTCGTCTTTCTCATGGAAATATTGTTAAAAAGGAAGTTAGGTTAGGTTAGATTGGGGTTAGGTAAGAATTATCAGTATGTAGCTTAGTTTTGTTAAAATGGAGATGGGGATAATTCGAGAATTGAAGTCCAATTACTAAGTTTTTATTCCTAGATGACAGATAACTGGGGTATTTTTCTAGGGAATCTTTTCTTTTTTAAATTACTCACGGAAATCAAGATTGTAATTAAAATTGTAGGGAGTATTTGACTTTGATAATATTTTTAACATCTGACAATTTTCTTAAAAATGTGTAAAATCCTGAAGTATTGTCACCATATTAAATATTAAATATAGATATATGTATTTTAGTTTTTATAAATGTTTATTTTTGGAATTTGATCATACTTGATGCTGCGTTAAATTACTATTTGTGTAATGTGTAATTTGTAGTTTCCTGTAACTACCCTAGAAGGTTTTTCCCCTAGATTCAGGATTCTGATTGAAGAAAGTAGAACAGATTATAGACTTCTCTTCTCTAGATGAAGATGTAGAGGTTTGACGGTGAGGAGTGGCTAGATGGGACAAAACGCGATAAAAACAAGCACACGAGGCAATTCTATGCGCTGTTATGTACAAAAGAGTTGAAAGGATGGGGCAGTATCGCGAAGATTCATCGAGCTCAGACGCGAATTAAATTCTTCGCTGTCAGGTTTGACAATCTTAGATAGAAGTTACCAGATAAACACTCTTTTTACTGTCTCAACTTCCGAAGTCTTCAGATCTTCATAAAAATGTAAGAAAATAATTGATCCTATCTATACGTGCCACTAAGTGATGAATTACGAATATATAAAAATAAATATTAAAAGAGAATTTCTATAAAATAATTTGGCAAAAATATATAGAATTAAATATTAGACAAAAACATTTGTGAAATTCCTTTTCTATGTTTCGCAGTCAAATGTAATTACACTTTTCCACACTTTTTAAGATACTTTATAATTCAATAAAATCGATCGATAAAATTTACAAATTCTATATTGCAAATTTATATAGATTATTTAAAAAATGTGTAAATAAAAATAAAGGAACCTGTTTGATGGGCTATTGAAGAAAGAAACAAAAAAAGAAAAAAAGAAATGAAAAAGATATGAGACGTCGAGAAAGTTGAAACACAGAAAAATAAGTAAACACACAATAGCTCGTTTTGTTCATCCATCCCTGATACTCTCGTATTAAACTGAATGACTGGCTTTGATCGAAAAGCCATGCGAGCTATGTGCGTTTTCTTCGCAGCGGGACGCGATTATCGCGATCGCCGAGGCGATTTCACTCGGCGCCCTGTTATGAAACGACCTATACGCTAAACGAGTGTATTTAGCCAACACGCTTTCTTTCTTTTCTCTCCCGTTTTATTACTTGGCGTTGTCATTTAATATTCGAGGACAGCTTTTACAAGTACCGATACCCACAGCAATTGCTGTTTATTATAAAGAAAATTTAATCACATTGGAAAAATATTAATAGAATTTATTATTGGATATTGCTATAAATTAATGTCAATCGTCAATGATGATTGATGATATAATTGAGATTTCTGCGTGAATCTGCAATTTCTAGTGGGATATAGTTCGTCTGAAGTAACTTGCTCCTCAAGGCCACTCTCCCCACTATCAGCAACTTTGCTAAGTTTACTTCCTTCCACCATTATCATAATCTCGCCAAGTTCTTCAACTGTTACCAGATACATTTTAAGTATGTGTTCATACTAGAGATTTTAGTCGTGACAGAAGTGGTCTTTAAAGTAAACTTATTACGCCATAGAGTATATTCTATTAAATAATAGTTCTCTACAGAAACGTGTCACTAACTTCTCAGATTTTATCCCTACATCTTTGCATATTCCTTGGAAAGCAGTAAAGCTTCGAAATTTATAGTTTGAACTGTATCAACCTATTATGTATGTAACTGTATCAACCTGTATGTACCTATTTTATTTTTCCATTTCTTTCGTTTCTTCTACTCTATTTTCTTCGATATATTGGAGATAAAAAGAGGATAGGGTTTCAGCAATGATTACTCGTTCCTCAAACAGATTCATAAAAAAAATTCCTAATTTTCGTTAACACATCAAAAAATCTTTTTGATATTCCAAATAGGGGACAGATCATTATAAAATTCTTAGGTATAAAGATCGCTTCAAAAATTTTCATATTAGAAAGCAAAGAAAAGATCAGTAAAAAGAATTCTCAACTTTCAAGTACGTTCTAAAAGACTTAATTTGCCTAAACTCTAATCTCCCCATTAAAAGTTAATTAGAGGAAACCAAACAGAATCCAATCATAAAGAAATTTCCTAACATTCGAAAGTCTAATCTAAAAGTATCTAACAATCGAGACACCAACACACTCCCCCAAAAACTTTCGCCATTCACGAATTCCTGCGGCAGCCTCGATCTGGCCGGCGCATTACAACATGCTACTCGCGTAACAGGCGTGCCAACCCACGCAGTTGGGGCAGCCCATAAATCCCAGCGCGTGAATAAACGGGATCGCGCGACCGAACGTCGAAAAAAACACTCGCCACGTCGAAAATAACCAGATCCGAAGAGTAAAATGTACCGATCGCAACATCAAGAATCGCCAGCAATGTGCAACACTGGCGTACTTTACAATAATGCGCATTGTTATGCGCAGGACTTACTCTCGCGCAAAATGTCTAGTTACATTGTAACATTTCATACAATTCTAGTAAAACATCGATATTTGTGTTATATTTTCAAAGTTGCGGTCGAAAAACAAAAATAGTCAAACTTTGCCCTATTCATATTTTTCACTAATTCTGCCATTCACAATAATTGTAATTATCGATCTAGAAATATTCATAATTTCGTTATTGCGTAAAAGCCATATGTAATATAAAAAATGTACTCAGGTTGTCATAACAGTTTTGAAACCCAAAATAGAATTAAACCTTGCTGAGTTTAGATATTTTGTTAGGGCTTTTTTAACTCATTAAGGGCCAACATTGCGTTATTCACAAAATTCTACGCATTTCATTCGTCATTTTTTCCCAATCAATTGACGCTATCGATTTCTGTTCTTTAACACTGAGACCACGAACAAATTCCATCTGTATTTTACAATTTTGTGAATTTTGGAGAATAGTAAATTTAAAAACGTCATGAGAACCAATTGCTTGGTCCTTAATAGTTTGATAGCCCTTATAAGAGAAAAAATGTTATACTCACTTTGACAATCGGCAACCGTGGGCGATCCTTGCGTGCACGTCCCGGGATTTCCGTTTCCACTGGTTGGCTGAACTGCTCCCAAGCTTCGATAACCCTCGTCAGATACTTCGCTGCAATTGTCTGAATGTTCTCCATCGTGTGGTGACTTTGTGTAATGTGCATTCCCGGTCACATCTTTGCTGAAACTTTCCAAGACCGGCTCTTCTTTAATTGCTGGAGGACTCGGCGTTGGACTGCGACTACTGGAGTCCTCGCGGCACTTGTAGTTGTAAATTGTCGGCTCGTATTTCGGTGTGTCGTCTTTTTCTACTGTTCTACGCGCTACGCCACCGTCGACGACGTATCGTTTCGTGAATTCCTCTGTTAGGGGAACTTTCGTACGGATCTCTTGGGAGTCCTTCTTTGCATCCTAGAGACAAATTTAGGGATTTTTTTACCACAGATCTACCAATCAAGTCCAACGATAACTTCATTCACGTTTTCTTAAAAGAGCATGTCAAGGGTTACTACTGCCATATAGAATTTTTATATATCAAAAAATTCAAATACATATGTCTCAATTTTTATAACTTTCTCCAAAATACATGCACTAGTATCAACGAATATATAATCAATCAACTATATCCTGTTTAACGATTCTAAACCCCTAAAACGTGCCGCATCAGTTATCAATATCTGCAAATATCCATCAACATCCCCTAAATCTCTACCCCTCCCCATACTATACCCATAAATAATTCCACCCCAAACCTAACTCAAACCTTCCCTCTCTCAGATTCCCAAGATAACCTAACCCAATCCTAAATAACTCTCTCCATTTCTATCTGCGGTGGATCCAAATGGAATTTTAGAGCTGTATTACTAAATATGTGAAACAAGTGCTATTCTTGAGACACGTTTCATATATTTTTGCCTATTATGTGGATTCTATGCATTTTTATATTTTCAAATTTCCCATAAATGCATAAAAATTCGTCACCCACCTTAGCTTCCTGATGCCTTCCATGATGAGTCGGCGAACGTGAATCTTCGTTCGAACTCCTGCCAGGCGAATCCACGTAAGATCCACCTTTTCCATGTTCCAGCTTCGTCGTGGGGCTGCTAGACCTTAGCTGAGCCTTCGGTGTTGGCGATCTCGATCGTTGCTTGCCAAAGTCTGGCTGATGACTAGGGCTACCCAAGAACTTCCTCTGTGGCGTTGGACTTCTCGATCGGTTGATCTTTCGTTGCTCCTCGATGTTTGACTGTTGCTGTTGCTTGCCGGCAGGCTGGTGAGGCGTGGGCGATCGTGACCGATTGCTGGAAACGCTCTTGGCCGCGTGCAGCTGCGTCGATTGTTGCTGATTCTGCATCGTGCCTGCGCACGAACCGACGCTCGACGCCGAACTCCGTCGTGTTCTAGGAGGTGATCTGCGGATCAGTAGCCGAATTTTTTTTTCGGATGCGTTAGGGGCAGGCGACTATGCTAGCTGGCCGTTTCTATACACACTTTGTCATCTTTTCAATAAATTTACAATTTTTTATATCTTTCGAGTTTCTGCTCTACGCACAGAAATTTTGGCGCTTTTGCGTTTAACAGTTTTCTCAGGTTTATGCTTTTTGTAACAAATTTTGGTATTTTTGCATTTTCGCGAGTTTTCGAGGCCAACACACACTTTACCTACCCCTCCATTACAAAATGGATTCCGCGTTTTCGGTTCACATAACCTCTAATTTAATATTTCAAGAATCTTTAGAGGTTAGTTGTTAGAGATTAAGAAGATTAATATAATAAGTATAAAATATAATAGGTTAGAGTGTAAATGAAAGGAGTAAAGTCCACTGCGATAAGATACGGTGATTATACGAGTCACTCAGATATACTGATCAGTTTAATAAATTGAAAAATACAAAATGGAGATAATACAATTATTTATGCTATCATTTGCGATAAATTTATAAAAATAGGACATTTATTATTTTGAAATTTCAAATCTACCTACATTCATATGTACGAAGAGCGGAATCAGTTTGACTTGCGAGGGACTTGTATAAAAAATGAAATGTTTCGAATACTAAAAGGAAATGATATTCAAAAAGAAGAAGAGCTATTAACGAAGATATAAAGCTGAAGCAAGTCCGTTAAAAGTTGCTGCTCGAGTTCTTTAAAATTCCAACGATTAAAGATCTCTTATCAAACATATTCAGATAAAATGCAAATGAAAATAAATGTTTTCAACTACGATAAAAGCTCGGTTCATCGTCAACAAAATAAGCACACCAGTCCGTGCTCGTTTAAATCCAAGATCGTTGGGTTTCTAAGAGACGCACAACATAATTTTCTCGAGCAGCATCCTTTTATCGAGGAAGCGGCAGAAAATCTCGGCTCTAGAATGAATGACTGCAGACAGACAAATGACACGTTAGAGGCAGAAAATTACTCACCTTTCGTAATGCACCTGCGCGCTGCCAAGGTCGAACGACCCTCCAGCCTTTTGAATCAACTTCGCTGAGATCATCGAGCGATGCGCTGCAATAAAAGATAAATAACAAAATGGTGAAAACACGTAGCCTATGTGCACGGCTGTGTATAGTGTCGTGCATCGTGATTGTGATTGCACAATCGGTCACGATACACGGTTTTTCGTCCAGTTTTCGCTGCATACTCGTTAAAGGATAATTGAAACGTCGCATCGTTTAGCGTTAATAGGCACCTGTAAGCATGGAGATTTCAATGCCTCTAGACGAAAAGTTGAGGATGGGGCGCGCGTGGATGAGAGTTAAGCGTGTTACGAGATAGAATACGTTGGAAAACGAATAGAAATATTATTCTTGTTTTTTCTCAGATTTTTGTTCTTTTCCTTTTTAAGTTTGGATCAAAAACTGAGAGGAGAATATTTGAGTAGCGTGGTTTTTGACGAAGATACAGTGATTGGAGGTAGATAAAAGAAGGATAATTTGAATGAAATAATGAAAATAGAAGAGATAGGTATGTAATTTACGTGTGTGACGCAGCATAATTGCATAATAGAAGTATAATAATTGGGAACTGAATCGAATTGGAATTTTTAGTAAAACTGTGATTTAATGAAATGAACATATCATTCGATGAAATATCATTAATCATCGACGTTAAAGCTGCATTAAGCTATGAGTGGGTTTTATAATACGATAAAAATATTATAATTGAAGGATTACAAGATCCATAAACTGTGCATCGAATGATGCAAGCTTTTTTGTCAAAATTTAAATTTACTAAAGGAGGCGTATCATAATGGAACGAAACATAATTTCCTATCAAAGCGAAGTTAAATTCTACTAAATCATCAATTTTATTACTCAGCAACGTGTAATTTACGTATGACGTAATGGAACATCCAAATATAAAGTGACATATATCATAATTGAAGAGAGGTTAAAAGGACCATAATCTGCATCTTGTAACGACAGGAATATTAAACTTTTTTTCCTTTTTCTTTTTTTTTTTTCTTTGATAAAACTACGATTTAAGAAGAGTAGCGCATCGTTCAAAGAAGCATAATTTGTTAAATCGAATTAAAATCCCGTTAAACCATCAATCTTATTATTTTTTCTCTATTTGCAAAAAAAAAGAAACGCGTTAAATCATCGTGCTTCTTTGACAAACACAAATCATCTGACACTTCGTAAATTTGTAACCAAGAGAAAGAGAGAAAAAGAAAAGGAAAAGAAGGATGGTTCATCTTTCGCATACTCGTAACACGTAACAAAATCGAAAGTCTCCGATCATCATCTTTATTTTCAACGACAATGAGCTCATCCTCGTTTAAACTGTCACCGACGTCCCATATTTTTTATCTGTCTCAACGACTAGTACCTACAGGATTTACGGAAAAAATGCAGAAAGAAAAAAGAAAGGAAAAAGGAGAGAAAAAAATTCGTGAGACGTATTGAAAGTTCACTTACAGGTCTTGCATCGGCATGGGTCGTGCTTGTCCAGATAATGGCTGAGGGTGTCCCAGCCGCCACCCACTCGCACCATAACGTGGCTTCGAAGAATTCGCACGAAGATCAACACCTTCGTGTCTCCGATACGGTATTTTCCTTCGGAAACGCGGATCATGGGAAACTGCGTTGGACACGTGCATCTTTCCACCAAGTCACGAACCTGAAGCATGAAAATAGGAAAATCTTGGTCAAAAGGATGTCGAAGAAAAATATTTTCAGGCGAAGAATCTCTTGAAAGTTCGCTAAAGTTGAGAGAATTCGTTGAAATATAAAAATCTATACCTCTTTTGATACGTGTTTCATACGTAATGTTTATTATTTAAATTGCGATAAAGAATATTTCTTTTAGCGTCTTTTATTTTTGTTAGAAAATTATAGATTCTTTGGATGAAATGGATTCGCATTTCCCATAATTATTCAATTACGCAAGAGTATGGTTTTATGGGAAAACGTGAGTTGACGTCAAGACATTCTTATGGAATCTCGAACGATCGTTCTGAAAGACCTCGAAATACTCGGCTAATTAGATTGCGGACGTAATCAGACCGGCTGATATTTCACGTTTTCTTACAACACCTACTTCGACGTGCGACAGATTTAGATTCTAATCTAAACTGCGATGTTTAGAGATACAAAAGCCTGGAAAACTTAACTAGATTAAACACATAAATATCTGTCCGCTATTCCCCTACAGCTAGATGCCACGTGTAGAATGTTCGTATCGAATAAAAGAATCTAATTTAATTTTGACATTTGTCCTCAATCCCATAAGCTCCTGTCAGTCTAAGAAACACTAGACACTCTTGATCTCTATATATTCAATAGACTACATACTGCTGTCTTACGACCAAATATTGCAAATCAGATCAAAACTCTAATTTGACAATTGCTCTCAATCTCCAATACCAAAAACTTTATCAGCCAAATCACACTCTAAACACGCTGTATAATACAGACCTTAAGTGCCTGTTTCGTTGCAATATATTTCAAAAACGCGCTATGTACTAACCGACAGCTAAAAAAAAAAAAAAAAAGAAGGATCAGGATAAGAGAAAAAATACGAATCAGCGCACTTTCCTTCCCGACTTATGTTCGTGCACGATACCCATAAAAATTATCCGAATAACATGTTTAGACGAAACGATTCAATAACAGAAACAAAAGTGACATGGACGCCAGTTTCCGCCGGGCAACGTCGAGTTTCAGTGCCGCCACTATTTGCCTTTGGGTATATCTACGTTTTTGCTAGTATTCAAAGCAGTGAAGTGAAAGCAGGACTGCGCCCTATCTGTCCGTCCGTCAAACGCTCGCGGCTCCGTACGATCCCTCCGAAGGATTCGAGTTCTATCGGCTCTTAACCGCTTGTTAATTTCGTTCTCGCCCGCCATGACACGAGCAACACGCACACACTTCCTTCTTTAATCTCTCTAGAATCTTTTTTTCTTTACAGAAGAGAAACGAACCACTATTCGAGGAAATCATGCTCGAGAGAAAATCATGAGAACGTATTATTTCTGTGCTTAGGTATGGTGAACGTGTTTCACGCATTTAACGCTATTAATGCTAGTGCGTTGTATGGGTTCAATCACTTAACCTATGAAAAATTCCCTAGACCAGTTTAGGGGACACTAAACATTGTCGATTGTCATATAGTAACTTACGAGCAATCGCTTCTCAGCTACAAACGAAAATTACAAGCAAACTATTTCTATCGAATCGAAAATTTGATTTGGTTTTGATACTTGTAAGACGAATTAACTCATCATATGATTTCCCAAACTTTTAGATGTAATTTCTTTATTTACGAATCTCCTATCTTTTAATACTCCATTTCATTCAAAGGCATTTCTATTTCAGTCAAAATTGACCACCGCTATTTAGGGGTTGAGCATGTACTTAAGACTCAAAGTCTCAAATGCAAAGAAGACTGTATGCAGCAAATTCTCGTACTACTGCTAACGTATAATACAGATGAGCTGTGTCTCTTCCGATTTCTTACAATCAACAAAAAATGTTACTGAATTTAAACTATGACATGTAGAGTTAAGAAAACTGGTAAAAGTTCATCTACCAAACTCGTTTCCCATGTTTCAAACTTCGTACACTCGAATCTAAAAATATAGACAAAGTGAATTACAACGAGACCGCGAAAAAATTGGGAGAAAAGACTCGAACCAATTATCTGGAATCACTTGGGGAGACAAGCGCAGCTCCGTTATCCCAGTCCACGACTTTCTTCTCCCGGCGCATTAAGTCGCCTGCGTTATTGATTACGCTGTGTTATCGCGGCGGCGAATCGGCCGGGATAAATATATATCATTTACGTGCGAACACCCACGGGCGAGCTTTTGACAGCGGAACGGTGAAAATTATTTATCGCCGGATCGGCCGTATCCACATGGTTCAGGATTCTTGAGCGTGGTGGCGCTCGCGCCGCCAATTCAACCTTCCCCCTGCTGTTCTGTCTGCCAATGACATTTTTCCCCGCGAATGATTTACGCCGCGTTGTGTAAATGCTTGTCGCGACGATTTTCTGATATTCACGGTGAGCAACCCCTCGTGCAAATTTCTGCCGGGGTAATCGATTATGGTTAGACTGCGGATTTCTATGCAAACTCATGTTTTGGGGGATATTATTAAAAAAGTAGAGGAAAAAGTTATCTTACGGTGGCAGACGAAAAGAAGTTTCCAAAATACGAAATATAAAGAGATATGATAATTTTACAGGATCCATTTAAATATAATAAGAGCTATGAATAGATACATACCACAGAACAGATGTCCCTGTTACAGATATGATGAAATATTTGTAGTATAGCATAATCTATATGCAATAACATAACCCTAACCTAACCAATCGCATTTATTGAGATTGCTACAGGTTAGATTCTAGCGTATTAAGAGAGGAAGATGATAAGTAGAAAGTAGGATAAGTGAAGCGGTTTAAAAAAAAAGATATGTTAATGATAAGCTGCTTGAGAGGTTTGGGGAAAAAATATAAAGAATATAAATACGGAACTAATTGTAAGCCAATGGTAGATATGTGACGATATATAGGTTAAGTATAAGATAATGTATATAGATTAAGCGAAATAAAGATATATATGTTTAATTGTAATGTTACATATCAGAAAGGACAAGTATGTTTAGATTAGAAGCATAGATAGCTTAGAGTCTTTGGATATGTTAGTGCTCTAAGAGCTGGATATGGGAATGAATGACAATTAGATACTATATGTAAGCCAAGATCTTTTACATATACATATATGTATATGTATACATAAGTATACATGCACATATCATCATATGTATATATCATCACATATATATACTCGTATATATCCGTAATGTATCAATTCTAAACTATTTTGTAGGGGGCGTGGTCTGGAATGGTTAACCATTTTGAAACACGCAGTATAAAGTAAGAAGGATACGAACAGCAAATTTTTCGTGCAAATCGCTTGCACTAAATTTTAACGACGCTATTGAACTGTCTTATACAGAGTGTTCAAAAGAGATAACTTAAGAATTTATAGTATTAATTAAAATTACAGATATATCTGAAGGGATCATTGTTCAAGCACAGATATCAGAAAAGTGAAGTACGATAATCGAGGAAAAGGAAACGATGGACGATAAATCATCGGCGCAAACGGTCGATTGGAATTCCTGAAGCGTACACGTTGTTCCTGTTGACGTGGTCACTTTGCGTCACGTCGTTTCTCGTTCCAAATATTTCATTTCACGCGGACCATACAGGATGTGTCCACTCCATAGTAATTACCGGATTATGCTAATCCACGAAAGGACATCATATATGCTTCTAACGTTAACACACAACGTTTTGATCGAGCTAATAGCGTATTACAAATTGCAAAATCGATAATAATCGATATTGGAGTTAATTGTTGTTAATTGTGTTTAAAATTGAATGAAATTTTTGATTAAGCGAATTTTATTTGGATACGTATGGCGACAGTGGTTTTAATTTTTAATAGCGTCGATCGTGGCGTGGACGTTTCCTACTCTGCTTTTGCGACACACCAATTGTCTACGACTCGGTAACTTTCTAGGCTGTACGTTTTCTGCTTGGCAACATTCGTTTCAATCCGTCGTATGTAAAAGAAGAAATCAATTTCTCAGTGTTTGTTAATTAATTTTAATTCATTCATTTATCAAGTATATTACTGCACATTCTTAAATCATCAGTCACATAAAAATTATACTAACATGACAAATACGCCCACTTGCTTCAACAATTGAAAAACAGAATATGTAAGATAATTAAAAGCATTCTATAAAATCTTCCAAACTTTGATACATCTATGAGTCTGATATTTGAAAAATATCCTTATTCCTAGATGTCTAGTAACATACTCGTAAAAAGAAGTAATGAAATTCATTAATTAAGTTTAAAAAGAAATTGTACGAAGATTTTGGCTATGTTCAAGTGTCATTGACATTAAGACTGCGGTGATAGTTTCCACAATTTAGTCGGTACCTACATTGTGTTTCGTGTATCGCTTGGAACACACAGCGTGGCGCATTGCAGGTGAGCGGACAGGATGAATGGTTATGATGCTATAATGCAAGGCCGTCACGGGTTACGTAATAGAACCTAACCCAACGATACGGAACACGGTTCGTTATCGGTGCAATCGTTTGGAAATACGTAAGTCTAGAAAGACGGGCCTCGTGCTTGGCAAGCTTAATCATCCCCGAATTTGTCATACGAACACGCCGAATTGCAAGGCATTTAAGAATTCTGTGGAGCATTCTTAAATTCTACTTTCGCAAATTAATTTAGGTTTCCATTCATAGATAAGGTAGATAAAAATTGAGGAATAGATGGTAAATATATTTCTGTGGTGGTAACCTTCAATTATGGAATCGATAAAATTACCAAGTTATTGTAATCTTTAAATTTAATCAATGATCTACTTTAATTTCTTACCTTTTTTTTACTCAGTAAGATTAATCTGATTTTTTGTTAATCATAGTAAGATAGAATTGAATATCAGAGATTTCTAGATATATGAAATATTTTTGCATGTATAAAAAAATGTAATGCACGAAGCATAAGTATTAAATAATTTAATAATAATTATTCGCGAATATAATGGACGGGATAAAACATGGAAATACAGTAGTAGATATAAT